GGATTATTATTTTCATTCACTCACTCACTCACTCATATATGAACTTAAAAGTAAACATTCTATTTAAACTAAAATACCATATACAAAATATTATCCCATAAATTATGTATAATTGTTAAAGTAAATCACTACTCCAGAGAGCTTCCGTTCTCAGTTCCTCAGTGGAATATCAAATAAGGCTGAGAATAATGGGCCTCTAGTTTGTCAATGGCCAATAAAAATCAAATTTATTATTTCTCACCCTACCTATCTCAAAAATTTCCTTAGCAGACATTTGCAGTCAGGGAAGTAGCTACCCTGTGTCAGAAGTCTAGTGACAACACTGAGTATGCTTTCCCCATGGAGACATATGTCCTCCTCCAAACAGAAAATGGTTTATTTGAAGAACCGAGAAGGCTTACAGAGCTTCCATGGGTCAAAAGCCCCATGAGCCTTCTTTTGTCAAAACAGGGACAATAATACATATTCCATAATCTCCCAACCAGAATGTGTTCATAGCAATCCATTTAACAAACCAAATAAACGAAGAAAACTCAGTGTTAAGGCCATCTACACCATGGATTCCTGATGTTCTTGCCTTGTTCACATAGACATAAGTTAAGAATAAATGTCCTGGACCTGCTGATTTGTGCTAGGCTTAACATAACAGTTAGAAATGTAATGATAAATTGAAATTAAGCCATCTTTAGCCAGTGGGAGGATAAAAAATAAAAATCTTGTTTTACTAGTAATCTAATGCAATTACTGAAAATCTGTTTTTAAAAAAAAGCACTTTAAAAAGTTGCAAAACATCCAATCATCAACCTCTTCCTAAAAATTTAGAAATTTAATATTCAGAAAGCCTTGATGTATGTACATTTATTGGAACATAAAAATGGATTTGTTTTGCTAGTTGATTTAGAATGCAAGACTTAATGTGCATTCAACAATCATGAATTTCTATTCAGTTACTACCAAAAGCCAATATAAATGTCATTTAAACCTTACATTTTCAGGACCATTTTGAAATGGAAACTAAAAATTCTTTATAAATGATATTTACATATATCTTTAGTTTAGAATACCAAGACATAAAGCAGGGGTGAGGAACCTTTTTTGAGTGTGGGGGGAAAGGGGCGACTGTCCCACAGAAAAATCAGTGGGGGCCACACACAAGTGAGAAACAAGCGGGGGGACTGAAGCACCAGCACGGGCTCCCAAATACTGAGGGAGGAGGGAGATGCAAGCAAGCTATGGGCCACATCCAGTGCTTAGGTTCTCCACTCCTAATGTAAAGTTTCATAGCCAAGCGTTGCCAGGAGAATTTCCAATATATGGAACTGTCTGTGGTGCTGAAAGTAAACAAACCAACTGATGGCACAAGGAAATTCCACCCCTCTGCATTCTCACTACGGAGTACCTGGTCTAACAAAATAATAATACAACATTTCTCAGTCCAACCAAGACTGTATTATAAAATTTCATCCATAAAATAACCTTGCAAAGGAAGCTCATAATTAAAACCCGCTTACCAAATATCCTTAAAATAGGTTCCTTGTGAGGTTTGAACTGGCAAGCTGTAGAATTTGGCTTTATTGCCAATTTGACAGTTCTCCTATCAGAATACATCAGAAGAGACACTTAAATTGGTTGCACACAGTCACCTCCATATTGTGAAGGACTGCACCACACATTTTCAGACTTCCTATTCACAGCAGCCGCTGAAGGAAGTACAGCATTGAAAAAAAAATCAAGAATACATTTTTATTCCAGTTAGTAGGTATTTTAGGCCATCAGGTGCCTTCAAGAATAACTTCTGGGAGCGGAAACAATCTCTAAACTTTCCTCATTTGTTCCAAAATACTCTGCAATATGTTTTCCAGAACAAAATTACCTCTTATTTCCAAGTAGCATTGCTTGCCTCCAATTGTAAAACATATCATACTATAAACAGAGAACATAGATATTCTTCCAATCCCCAGAATATTGTTTGCTATATCAGCAAGTTCCTATAAATTTGCACTGTACTGAAAAGCAGTTTCAAAACTTCTCAGATGAAGAAATGCCTAAACAAACATTATTTAGCAACAAACAGTGAGTTGAAACAACCCTCCAGAAAAAAAAACAATAAAATGCTCATTGTCAATATGCCACATCTCCAAGGACATAATCCTATAGTCCTCACTCAGGATAAACTCATTGAAGATAACAGGAGTTAAGAATTTGGCACTATAGATGTTCCTTCAGAAAACGGATGGCTAAAAAACAGATCTTTAAATCTACTGTTAGTAGGATTATGCAATATTTTTCAAGGAAAAGTAACCTGAAGATTTAACAACTGCTGTTCCAAGCCAAAATATTTAAAATGTGTTTATTGTATTAAGACTATTTTAATGGCCTATTATGTTGCTTTGTGTGTGTGGTTTTTTTTTTTTTTTTTTTTTTTACAGAGAAGTGAATAAAAAGTTGTAAGTAGGTTACCTCTAAATCAAGAGGATTTTGTTGTCGGCTTAAAGGTAGTACAGTTCCCTTTCCATGGCCATGAAAAGAGATAATTTTCATTGTCTAGCTGAATAAACTGAGCCCTGTAGATCTACACTTTATGCAGAATCTTACAATAACTCTTGGCAGCCTATAATACCTTCCTGATGAAAGGAAACCGTAACACTATTTTGCAACAAAGTATGTTTTTAGTTTTAAATTTGTCAGGCAGTGTTAAACTATTAACTCTTTTCTCCCTCCTCCTGATACTATTACTACACTCACCAGGAATATTTCTTGCTGCTTTTTGCAGCACCTAGCAACTCCCAATCTTGTTGTGTAGAGATTTTTTTAAAAAAAGGACACCCCTTGTAATAAGGGACTATTGGTAACCTTACTATACATCTTTGATTTCATACATATTAGCTGAAAAACAGAAGTCCTTAATTATTTGATCTTTTGTTAATAATGGGAGAAAACACATACAGAAAGACACACGGGCTCTAGTTTTAATATCAGCTTTAGCAATTATTATTTGCAGAAATTTAAAGGACAAAAGGTAAATCTAATTTACCTTATAGAATCCACTTATCAATACAATTGTAGGCATATTTCTCTACAAAACATTAACTTCTCCAAACTTCAGAAATCTTTGGGATTTTCTTATTATGATTTATTTTGATTAGAAATGTGAGGGAGTTTTTTTGGAAGGAGGCCAATAATCTAAACTATGCCATGGGAATTACTTAATGAACAACTGTTAGAGTACTTTTTATTTTTGTTTTATTGTAGTTTGGATAATCAAATAAAATTACCAAAGTGATGCATATATAGAATTTCTTTTAAATTTCCTGGGTAAAGTTTCTTAACAGAATTGCATCCAGCAACTGAAATATCTTGAAAGGCTGTTTGAAGTAAATTTTTTTTTTTTAAACACACTACACTTCTACAATTTTCATTATGAGAAGCACTGGGGGAAACTGCATTACAGAGCAAGGGAGGTTTAGGCTGGACATCAGGAAAATCTTCCTAACTGTCAAGGTGGTTCAACACTGGAATAAATTGCCTAGGGATGTTGTGGAATCTCCATCACTGAAGATTTTTAAGAATAGGTTAGACAAACACCTAACAAGGATGGTCAAGGTGATACTTGGTCCTTCCATGAGTGAAAGGACTGGACCTGATGACTTCTCGATGTTCCTTCTATTTTTTAATATTCTATGATTCTATATGTTTTTCTGTTCTTTGTAAGTCCTCCAATAATTTATATTAACTTTCTCAGCAACTGGTCAAGAAGAATTAACAGATTTCCTAGCTCATGATCTTAGTGCGAAGAAACAAGAGCCCAGTTCAGAAATGGGAGTTTTGCATGTATACGTACTGCAGGATCAGAGTCTTATTTCCAAATGGTCCTAGATAAAACTGTATTCTTTTACTCTAACTTTAGCAGGTAGAAGCCTATACTTACTCTTATTTAACAATTATAGTACAACATGACACAGTGGGTGAGGTCATATAGTTTATTGGGCCAACTTTATTGTAGCTCAAAAGCTCGTCTTTTACACCAACAGTAGTGGTCCATTGACCTTGTCTCTCTAATATCCTGGGACTAATACAATTGCAACAACAAGTATATTATAGTTCCTCCATAAGTGTTCCACCTTTGCTATTTGTTAATTAATACAATATTAAAAAGTTTCTTTGTGCTTACTCCACAAGTTTTCCGCAGTAGGAAAGAAAAATAACATTACATGTATCTAGAAATAAAGCTCCAAAGAAAAAATTAACAGAGATATTACTCTATTTGATGATAATTTCAATCTTTCACAACTTAGTTGAGCAAAATCCCAATTAAAAATTTAGTTTATATAGAGAAGGAAATCTACAATTGCTGAAAAACTACATTTTAAACACTAATGAAGGCAATCCTTAGTTGACCATTACATTTTTCTAACTACATTTTAAACACTAATGAAGGCAATCCTTAGAGAAAAATGTAATGGTCAACATGTTTCTTTACTAAATGCCTACAATTTCCACGGCATTAAAAAATCTGTTTACAGGTTAAAGATTCTATGGCTGCTTTTATTGTCTTCCAGATACAGTCTTATTTTAGGTGCTTAGTACAGTATGGTGAAAGTATTTTTTTTTT